GAATGGGTGTTCTGAACTGTAATTTCATTGTGCTTTGTACAATCACAATAAAGCTTTATGTTATCTTATCTTAGTCTCTTAAAAATTAACATAAAAATATTATATATACTGTATATTAGCAATATTATGAGATTTTGTGCAATGATACCTCTCGGTAAGAGCTGGAGATTAATCTGTAACTACCAAAACACGTTTTAGCTTATCTGTAAAGCTGCTTGAGTTATAGATATTTTGGTTTAAGGTCAGTTTTCTGTGGCGGCCTTCTCCGAAAGTTGTTCATCTAATGATTACTGTCTGCGAGTTTCATGAGATATTTAGCTAACACACACAGTTGACTCCAGCAGATAAAGACAAAGTTTTAAACAAAGGCTGTGTTCTGTGGTTGAATCTCAGCTGCTGCCACCAGAGTTTCATGGCGTTCGAGCCATTTTTGTGTTTGCTACGTTTGCTTAGTGGCAGATGTTTTTAATCCAGTCAACTCCAAGGACCAGGATCAGTTGTAGAGCTCCATCCTATAGTTATTTTTCAGAGAGAATATAAATGGTTTTTTTTTGTGTGTGTGTCAATAAGCCCGTCAGGATAACAAATTTTACTGGACAATAAATTGTCTCAGAAATCATTGCAGTAAACGATAGTATTGTTGGAGACCAGTTTAAACTATGGTGGGGGTAGGCTTAAGGTGAATTAAGCCTTTCTACATNAAACATCAGTTCTGATGTTAACAACCAAACAATTTTACTGGCACTCTTTAGCTTAAGTTTTGGCAAATAAAGAACAAAGGAAAGGATGAAAATAAGATTAGTGTTCTACTACGCTTAGTTTGTTAAGTGTGTGGTACAACCGGATCAGCACGTCCCTTCTGGGCTTAGGATTTCCACATGACACGTCACCCGGAACACGCTCAGCTTTTACCTGGTGCCGGCTTCTTAAACAAACCCTGGGTAGTCACTGTTTCACCTCCGATCAGTCAGGGAACTTTTTAATCGGCCCGCTCACTGTTCTTCGGTGAAAAGGTGTTATTTTAGGCAACTTTCCGTCTGTTTCGATCCTCGCCAGAAAGATTCAAGCTGATGCATCCGGTTCCTCCTTTCAAAATAAAATCTCCCCTCGGGAGTTATAAACACTTGGAGACTTGCCKTCTCGGCTGGGACAGTCGGCGGCGTGCCGCTGTCCCGGCCGTTAGATCTCCCTAATTGGCTTATGGGCAAGACCTAACGAGCCAAGCTGGCTTCTCCAGGGAGAAACTCAGCCTTCCTTCCCAGTTCGGCATCCAGGAAGAAGTGTCTCGTCACTCAAAGGCGTCCGTGTTAGTAAAAGAAGCGGACAACTTTGGTTCCGCCCTCCGGCGTAAAGATGAGTCAGGAAAAGAAGAAAGATAAGAGACTTGCCAGCCAGGCACCAGCCAAGGTTAAATTCTGTGGTTGTTCACAACAGAATATGRTAACATTTCTTTTCAACTTTTCTTCTGGAAGACTCTAAGAGAAATCACTGAAAAACATTTATGATGATTAATTAACATTTCTGTTTATAATCAGTCTGAACCATTCTGTTAGTCCAGATAAATGGAAGATTTTCTCAAGAAAAACTCACAACTATTTTACTGTGTTCACAGTAAAATAAAAACAGTGACTTATATAAAAAACACAATGAAAATATGGTAATGATTTTCTCTGTGATTTTTTTATATATCATTAATTAATCCTTTAGGCACGAAAAAAGAGTAGATGTGATTCCACTTTTCTTGTGACAGTCATTATTATGGTTTGACAAATGCATAAACATTCTTAGTTAAACAACAAATGAATCACGAACAGAAAAGATAGTTCTGTCCATTTTCTGATTAAGAGAACTGAGAAATTCTCCTAGGGTTGAAATGACCTGTCATGGCCTAAATAGAGTTCAGTTTGTGACAGAGTTCCTGCCTTCTCAGTAGGCCTGTCTGAGGCAGTAAATCTGGTTTCTTCACTCGAGGTGACCCCTGCACTAATGTAATGAAACTTACATTAAAATTTACATAGTGTAAAAATAAAAAACAACTGTCAGCAATCCCAAGGCATTGCCAGCTGTATGAAGACGCCCCTCTGGCTAAATGCCTGTTCATGAGCTCTCATACTACAGAGGTTAGAGACCATACACCTGGCAAATACCTGACACCAGAGCTCACTCTTCTTTATTCTAAGGAGTAGAAAAGAGGGAGACATGAAGAAAACACAAAAGCAGGCAAATGAAAATTGTCTTCCTTTTAATTTATCTTCCTCAATTTAATTTACCATATGGTTAATTGATATTTTGTTAATTGCGACAGGCCTATGTGTGAATGAGACTGTTATTTTTATTTGAAGATGTGAAATCAAATAATCAGTTCCTTAATTTCATTTTATTTTTTCCAGTTATGTTGAACAAAGTGAATAATTTGTTGTTCAAACTGTGCATCTATTATTCAGTCATTTAAAACGAGCTGTTCTGGTTGGGTTTATCTCCCTTTTTTCTGTTCTAGATGTCCTGGTTTGGATCCAAGCCGTCACCTAAGGGCATCATCCGACCTTCAATCTCAGGCCCTCCTACCCACTGGAGCTGATGGGCAGCACAGAGCGAGCTGTGGCTGGGGGGGGGGGGGGGGGGGGGGGGGGGTGAAGGACCACCTCACAGAGGAGGAGATTTGAGTCTGGAACAGAAAATTTACCAGATTCTCTCTGTGGGAAGAATGCTGGTTTTCCATAATTATTTAGGGATTTTACTTTTTAAAGAGAATGACAGTCCTGTTGATAATTATTAATAACTGAGACAGGTGTCTCATTTTATTCTACAACAAATATCTGTTTCTCTTTATTTCTCTTCGGTAAAAATATCAAACTAAAGGCCCTGTCACACAAGACAACTTATGCCAACTTATGAAATATTTTTATGTCTAAATTGCTAATAAAAGTTATATATTTGATCAATTTGTTAGAATTGCATTATGTACAGGCCAAAAAGAAGCTTCCTGTTGACTTTTTCAATTCCAGCTTCAAAGTAGACATCTTTAAAATGTTCATAAGTTGGTATAAGTTGTCTAGTGTGACAGGGCCTTAAGTAAGGTGGTATGTAAGACCATAAGAATGAACAGATTGCCTTATTTTTATTCTGAGGACTGCCTCACATCTACACATCATCAAGGGTTAACATAGTCATGTTAACTGAACTGTCCTCAGGGGACAGATGGCTCTATATTTGAATGTTCAGTTTTTCTCTTAATTTAAAATAGGGCTTATTTGTGGTAAGAACTGGTAAAGGAATCTGAAGCTGTTTAGGTTTCAGCAGCAGGACGTTCACCTGTATCTGTTAAATGAGAATCATTTAATTCCCACTGGAATCAAAGGCTCCAAGCTGTCTTTAAAGGGATCCATGATTAGTTGTTACATTAGACTTCATTTAATAAACATAATTTTTTACTGTAAAAGAAAGACTGTAAAAATATTGTAGGATGTTCAGTTTTTATCATTTAAAAACTAAAAGTTTAAAAATATATAACACGGACGGGGCCATTTTATTTACACRCAAAGCATTCTGGGTAAATGATGAYGTGGATAGGTYCTCGGTGCGAGGCTGCTAGYGAGCTATATCCACCCTGAAGGTTAATCTTGGACAATATCTGATGATCAACTCTTTTAAATGAAACCAGAGAGCGTTGACAGAGAGGAGAAGGTAGAAATGACTCAGCCTGTAACTGAAAATATGGATGGAGGACAACAGAGCTGCTTCATGGAAGAAGAACCTCAGCTTAGCCTGTTAGCTTTAGCATTAGCCTGTTGCGCTAGCGCTGAGCTAATAGCCTACATATAAGGCAATATAGTGTTGGGGCTAATGCTAAAGCTAACAGGCTAAGCTGAGGTTCTTCTTCCATGAAGCAGCTCTGTTGTCCTCCATCTATATTTTCAGTTACAGGCTGAGTCATTTCTACCTTCTCCTCTCTGTCAACGCTCTCTGGTTTCATTTAAAAGAGTCGATCATCAGATATTGTCCAAGATTAACCTTCAGGGTGGATATAGCTCGCTAGCAGCCTCGCACCGAGGACCTATCCACATCATCATTTACCCAGAATGCTTTGTGTGTAAATAAAATGGCTCTGTCCGTGTTTACAAAACTAAACAGCCTACAGTATTTTTACATTCTTTATTTTATAGTTAAAATATAGTTTCTCAAATAAAGTCTAATGTTAAAACTAATCATGGATCCCATTAAAGGAAAGACATAGTTCAAGTCGTACAATTATAAACTTAGAATGACTGAATTCTAGAATCAATGACGGTTTTTGTTAGTGAGCAAAACAAACAAAACAAAAGTTAGAAGGAATAAATTTCAATTAAATTTGTCTCTTGAGAAAATATAACTGTCAGTAAAATACGGTTGTCTTTTTATGTTCTGGAATCATTTTGGCCTTTCTGCATACAGGGTTTTAACAGCCACAGTTTGGTGAGCTCAAAACTGAATGACTGCAGAAAATAATCTTGAAAGGTTTTATGAAAACAAAATGAGGTTGCCGTTATTAATAACTTTTTAATTTATTTTTATTTTTTATTTTTGGGCCTAAACGTGCAGATAAAGAAGACTCCTCAGAAAACCACCGATCAGATCTCTCTCCGAACTTCTGTCCTTTCCAGTTTGGGAGAACTTTACATTCTGGTGGTCCTTCAGGGTTGGTGCAAACAATAACAATAAGAGCTGTTTTATGTGATAAAAGAAGTGAAGGCCCTCTGACAACAGGGGCACAACCCACCTTTACCTGCCTTTGCTGATGTAAATGAGATTACAGTCCACATGTCTATGTATAGAAAGATGTACATACTGTATGCATTCAGATCTTTATAAATCAGTGGGTGTAAATAGTTTGATCAGTTTGCAGTATTTATCAGCACCATAGAGTAGAAGCCAGACACGTCTCGTCTGGTCCCTCAGTCCCTCTGCTCTGTCCTGAGTGGGATGTGCTTTTCCCCTCTACACTTTGTTTTTTCTACTTTTTAATACTGGGATGCATAACATGCCACCATCTTGTCTTTCTGATGATCAGCAGCAGATATCACTGTGACTGCAGATGATGAGAGACTGTCTCCATAAAAATGTTGGAAATGGTTTTAACCTCATTGAGTTAGCAGGGTTAAATTCTTGTGCACTACTGTACACTTACTACAGCTGTTTTTGTTCTTTGCTTTTATATAATTTAATGATTTCTGAAATGGTCTCTTCCTTTCCCACATTTAATACAAATAAATCCAAGGGTACAAAACTGTGCTTCTTGTGTCAACTTTTATTTAGTTTTAATTTTGAACATTTCTTAATCTTGTCCTGATGCATCTCAGTAATCCAGGTAAAAAATCAAAGGAAAAAAATTGTATAGGTCCTCTGGACGGGTTCTTCTTTAATGAAACGTTTCGTCTCTCTTCCAAGAGACTTCTTCAGTCTGAGAGTTTCAGGCAAAATTCAGGCTTTTATGTCCTGCCTCCAGGTGACTGATACTCACATCACATGACCATCGTTCACAGGTGACTCACATCACCTGGCTATGGCTCACAGATGACTCATACTCACATCACATGGCTATCGTTCACCCTAATTAATACCTGTTGTTAACAGGGGTGGAGTGATACTGCCAATGGCAGCGCTGTAGCAGGGGGACAGCTGAAAACGGAGGCCCCCACCTCTGTTTAATGACGGACGGTCTTTCTTCACAAAAATGGCTTCTTTTACTCCTCTCTCAAACCAACGTTCCTCCCGATCAAGAATGAGAACATCCTCATCTCTGAAAGAGTGACCGCTGGCCTGTAAATGAGTGAAAACTGCAGAGTTCTGGCCATTAGAATTAGCTCGTCTGTGTTGGGACATTCTTTTGAACAGTGGTTGCTTTGTTTCCCCGGTGCCCCGGTGCCCCGGTGCCCCGGCACAAACAGAGCAATATTGTACATGCTGTTAAGTGCCAGGAGGACTGCGACCAGTTATACATCGGGGAAACAAAGCAACCACTGTTCAAAAGAATGTCCCAACACAGACGAGCTACATCTAATGGCCAGAACTCTGCAGTTTTCACTCATTTACAGGCCAGCGGTCACTCTTTCAGAGATGAGGATGTTCTCATTCTTGATAGAGAGGAACGTTGGTTTGAGAGAGGAGTAAAAGAAGCCATTTTTGTGAAGAAAGACCGTCCATCATTAAACAGAGGTGGGGGCCTCCGTTTTCAGCTGTCCCCCTCCTACAGCGCTGCCATTGGCAGTATCACTCCACCCCCTGTTAACAATAAGTGTTAATTAGGGTGAACGATAGCCATGTGATGTGAGTATGAGTCACCTGTGAACGATGGTCATGTGATGTGAGTAGGAGTCACCTGTGAATGATAGCCATGTGACGTGAGTATCAGTCACCTGGAGGCAGGACATAAAAGCCTGAATTTTGCCTGAAACTCTGACTGAAGAAGTCTCTTGGAAGAGAGACGAAACGTTTCATTAAAGAAGAACCCGTCCAGAGGACCTATACAATTTTTTTCCTTTGATTTCTTAATCTTGTTTCTCTATAAATTTCTTTAACAGTCCATAAATTAAAATGTTGTAAATTTCTTTAGTTTAGACTATTACAGAGTTATTGCACTGGCATTTTGCAAAACGTATAAACTCTAAAACTCATTATATTGTGTGAAGAAGTATGAATGCAGAAATCGATCTGAATCTTCATAATAGTTGTTGTAATCCCTCCACCCGTTAGGGGGCGATGTTTCTTCATTTGAGACTTTTTGGTGTAATACAGAAATCTGTAACCGTCGTACGCTGACTCTCCTTGGGCACCCTATTCAAATGCCTGACGTGGTATTTAAATGCAGCTTAAAAATGTTTAAAACTTAAAAAGCGATTGCAGATTTGTGTTTTGCCATTACACTTTAGAACATAATCATTTTTTACACATAAAATAAATACAGGGACCTTTTCACAGGAAGCTTCACCAAAGAAGACAGTCTCACATCTTTGAAAAGTACATTTTAATTTATAAACATTATTTTTTAAATAAAGTTAATTTAAAAGTTTGATTTTTACTCTGTCCATGAGTAAGCTTTGACTTCATTGCTGCTAAATCTCTTTTTACGACAGGGGTGCCTTTTTTGGTACAACACATACACACCGGAAGTTCCTTTTCACTAGCACGCGGTGTGTCCGGCCTTTCCACCAAGGCAGCGACGAGGAACATGGTGAGTGCAAGACTCTCCTMATTGAATTGGCATTATTTTCAATTTACAATAGTATTAAACGAGTTTAATTTGAGTAGTGTTCGCGCATAAGGYTTTTGTCTTTCTGTCCATGCGTGTGTTGTGAAGTTGGTTATCATTAAAAAGAAGTAAAATGTGAAATTACGGAGCGCTGATCGAATGATGCTGTTGAACTGAGTTGCTAGCTGTRAGCTAATGTTAACGAGGAATGCTAAATGTTCACTGAAGCCCGTATATGTAGCTTATCTCATAAATATCAATATTCTTACTGCGCTTCCTGATGTCAAATGTCTGAATACTCGTGTTTTAATTAATTCAGTGGTTAACTTTTATACAGTTTGACTTGTTTTGTAGTGCTGCCGGTAGCTCCGCTGTGAAGATGTCTGACACAGATCGAGCCTGTGATATTTTTAAGCCACTTTCTTTTAATTTGTTTTGTGATAACACTTTTGTGATGCTTTCTTCATGGTTATGATGTTCAAGACAGAGACTGTTAGGTTGTTCTTAGTAAAGCTTAACATAATTTTTTAATAAATATTTGTCTTCAATCTTAAGGCCAAGATCAAGGCAAGAGAT